ATGTGATAAACCAAGCACGGTATTTAAAAATAATATTGTGTCTATCTACCCCCATATACATCCTCTTTCTCTTTGTCTCTCTGTCCATTGATCTATCAGTCTCTCCCTCTCTATTGCATGCTCTGTGCAGTTGATTCCTTTCAAGTCTCTGTTAAAGCACTAGCCTAGAGAGGAGCCCTGGTCATTTCTTCCGTGCATGGAGCCGTCTCTCTGCTCCTTTCAGGGTCTGTGTGAATGAGGCAGCTGCAGGGTCTGTGCAGCAGGGGGAATTCACTCTGCGGATGCTCTTTCTTCATGTATCAGCTGCTTTTGAGGCTTGGGGAAGCCGGGGGCAGGGTGAGTTCCACTTCTTCACATCCTGCTATGCACTGTTCATGAGCCTGTCATCAACCTCCCCTTCACCCTCCCATGGTGGAGACTTTCCCTGTTCCTGTGGCTGGTCTGGGTTGGAGTCACTCCAAGTGAAAGCTCCGGAGCCATTTCTCTGTCACAAGAGAACCGACCCCCTTACACAGGGGCCTGATCCCCAGGCCAGTGAAGTCAGTGGAGTCTTTCCATAGACATCAAGGGGCTTTGGATCAGGCCCTTTCTGGGCAGCATTGTCTGAGCTACAAGCAGGGCCCGGCTGCCATCCAAGGGTGTCAGCAGCTCAGCCCAAACCACAGCCCCGGGAATCACTCTGCGCTAGAGCCCCCAGAATCTTGTGATCTAAAAATGACAGATTTTGTAAATTGACAGATTTTATCAAACATTTTCATTTTTTCCAAAGTTTCAATTTTTACGAATTACAAATTACAACTTTTTTCGGGGGACGGGGGGGAGGGTTGTAAAAACAAAACTGGAAAATTAAAATAAAAAATCAGAGAATTTTTTACAAGTTTTTCAGGTTTTGGTTTCCCTTCCCTCCATTTTTACCATTTTGCCATGAAGAGATGGGAAAAAAATATTTTTCACAAAAGGTTTTGAAACAATAATTTAAAAAATATTTACCCTTTTTCACACTTGCATTTTCTGGGGACTGCTTATGACAGGTAGTGTCAAACTCTGCTCCTCTGACCCTCACCTGAGCAATGCTGACCATCCCCTGAGCATCTGAGCTACCTAACCAAAAACCCACATCAATTTTAATAAGGGGCCAACAGTCCCTTACATTTCTATCGAACATGTTTCTTTGGCTTTTTTCCTGGCCCCCCACTTCCTTAGTTACACTGACAGGGCTGCCCAGAGGATTCAGAGGGCCTGGGGACCCCGCCGCCAAATTGCCACTTCTGCAGTGGGTCCCGGAGTGGAAGGACCCCCCACCACCGAAGACCTGGAGCGGAAGAAGCTCCGGGGGCTCGGGCCCCACGAGAGTTTTCTGGGGCCCCCAGAGCAAGTAAAGGACCCCGGGGGCTCCAGGGGCCCTGAAAAACTCTTGTGGGGGCCCCATCGGGGCCTGGGGCCTGAGGCAAATTGCCCCACTTGCCCCCGCCTCTGGGCGGCCCTGTATTCCACTGATTCCAGCTCCTCACCTGCTCGCAGCTCACTTCTGGATGCTCTCTCTGAACTGCCTTTTGTTCTTCCTTCCCTGGCAGTGGGGGGTGATTTGAGAGGGAACCAGGATAGGGGGAAGGGACCTAGGGTGGATCTCTCAGCAGGGACAGCAGACTCCTCAGCAGCCCAGAATGGGGAGCGGGGACAGTCAGGACAGGATGTGAAGAAGTGGCTTGAACTGGTTGTAGAGGATGGGGTAGGTGGAGACTAAACAGGTGGGGAAGCCAGTGCAGTCCCGTGGTTGCTGTTCTCTGGGGCACAAATTCACCCCTGTGCAGAGGCTCCCACATGAAGCCCAGCCCCCATTTATATCCCCTTAACACCAGAGGGTGAATTTGCCCCTGGGGGAGCTGAGTTCTTCTCACCAGGGACTGGAGACCAGGGTGGAAGCAAAAGGTTCAGACTCATCCAACATCCCAGGCCACCCAATCACCCAGTGACCTTTCACCCTGGCCCAGCTCTGCCTTTATCCGAGGGACTGTCTCGGTCCCCAGGCAGTGAGATGGGACGGGGAGTGTTTCCTCAGTGATATGTTTAGACTCAAATAAGCAAACCAGGCCCCTTCGGTTCCCAATCTTGCAGCCCTAAATAGAGATGCTGTGGCCGGAGCACAGAAGGGGGGCGGCTCGGGGCAGGAAATGGGGAGCGATGATGATTATCAGACCCAAGGACAGGACAGAGCAGGTCAGCGAGAGGCTGCAGCATCTCTGCTGCCTGAGCCCTGCAGATCCCAGGGTCTGGGAGCTAGGAGAGGGGCTGGCTGGAGAATCCAACCCCGGGGAGCAGACGGGGGCAGATCAGAGCAGAGATAGAGACCGAAGCTTCCCAGACAGGGCAGTGTGTGCAGGTGGGAGCAGGAAGCGACTACGGATTGTCCCCTCCCAACCCTGTCAGCAAAAGAAGCTGCTGGGCTGTTTCCATCTCGAGTGGTTTGCACCACCGCCCTGATGATCCTGTCTCTGTGCCTCTTGCGGGAGTATGCGGGAACCCTATGCTACTTTGTTGCAGGTTGGGAGGAAACAACCGAGAGCAGCCTCTGGCCCAGACTGTCGGCAAATCCTCTTCAGTGGGAGAGAAATGGGAACCAGTAGAAGCCCTGAGTGTGAGAGTTACTGGGCCAGATCTGCAGTTCGTGTGAATGGGTGTCACTACACTGGAGTCAATGCCGGTTTACACCAGCTGAGGATCTGGCCCTCTAGAGAGCTGAAGGGAAAGTTGGTCCGAGCTCAGCCAAGATCTGTGTGCGCGAGGAACCTGCCATGCCCCAGATCTAACGTCCTGCCTGATTTGCTTCTTCACTGAAACAGGAATCAGGAATTTTTGTCCTATCTATTAAAGGCAGTTTTTGTCCCTGTAGAGGGACTCAGAAAGGGAGGATTTTATCTCCAGCACTAACCTCATGGCACCTTTCTGTTCCCAACGCTCAGTCCCAGCAGCCAGGAGATCTGCTCAGCTCCCGGTGAGTCCGTCTGTCTGTCTGTCCCGAATCTGCCCATTGCATTTACCCCTCCCCTTCCAGGGTGTTTAGTCATGACCCTGTGGGAGGCTCCCTGCTCAGTGTGGTGCCTGCAGCAATGACATGGGAAGGCAGATGGGGCTGTATGAGATCTGGGCAGTTTGAGCAGATCTCTCGGTTGACCCATCCCTGTACTGCTGCCTCTCAGCTCTGCTCTGACCCAGGGCCAGTGTGACAGGCAGGTGAGAGAGCCATGTCCACGGCCCATCCCACCCCCTGGGCACTGGCCCTAGGACGCAGCGAACACCACGGCTCTAACCCCAAGGGATTTACATTCCCATGGCACTAGCTCTCAACCCCTCATGGTAATAGGTCTCTCCCTTGGAGCTCACCCCCCATATAGACTCAGCCTGCACCTCGTTCTTAAATGTCAGCAGCATTGTTAATAGTCAGTCCTGGGCAGGCAGGCAGCATTCGAGAGGGTACGGCCAGAAGGGACCATTATATAACCCAGGCTGAGCTCCCTATGACCGAGACCGAGGTGTTGGCTGGGCCCTAGACAACCCTCAATCACCAGGGCCTGGCCCGCTGAGTGGTCGCCTCTCTCCCGGCCATACTGCTCCTGCTGGGTGAGCAGGTGCCCACATCGGGGCCGACAACGGGAGCCCAGCCCAGCTGACCCTCCGACTCTTCAGCAACCCAAATAATCCCACTTAATAAAGCTTCCAGTCACAAGAGAGAGCTCATCCCCCCATCTGCACAGCTGGGCTGGAATCAGAGCTTCCATCTGAGACATGGTACAGACCCACCTGTCATTTACCTCCTGCCCCAATGACAGTGCCGGGCACCACCAACACCCCACTGACAGCTCTGACCCATTCCCATTCCCAGGCGCTCTCCATGCCCCTGCCCTCCACCTGAGCCAGATGTCCGCCCGGCCAGGGGACTCCGTGTGGCTCAAGTGCTCCATGTTCTCCCAGCTCCTGGACACCCGCGTCATCTTCTGCAAGGATGGGAAGGAGGTTTCATCCCAGAGGGGCTTAGAGAAGAAGATCACCTACTACTATAACCACATTGTGTTTGGGGGCAGGTCTGGGAATTACTCCTGTGGGTATGAGATCAAGGACAGCAACAACCAGGTGACCAGATCCCACCTTAGCCCTGCCCAGTGTCTCAGCCTCACTGGTAAGAGGGGGCACGTGTGTGTGTGTACATATATATACCAGCTCAACCCTGGAAGATGGGGTCATGGACTTCATAGAAATGTCAGGCTGGAAGGGACCTCAAGATGTCATCAAGTCCAGCCCTCTACACTGAGGCAGGACCAAGTAAACCTGGACCATCCCTGATAGGAGTTTGTCCAATCTGTTTTATAAACCTCCAAGGACATGGATTCCACAACCTCCTTTGGAAGCCTATTCCAGAGCTTCACTAGCCCTTTAGTTAGAAAGCTTTTCCTACTATCTAATCTAATCCTCCCTTGCTGCAGATTAAGCCCATTACTTCTTGTCCTACCTTCAAAGGGCACTGAGAACAATTGATCTCTGTCCTCATTATAACAGCACTAAATGTATTTGGAGACTATGAGGTCTCTCCTGAGTCTTCTTTTCTCAAGACTAAACATGCCCAGTGTTTTTAAGCTTTCCTCCTAGGTCAGGTTTTCTAAATGTTTGATCATTTTTGTTGCTCTTCTCTGGACTCTCTCCAATTTGTCCACATCTTTCCTAAAATGTGATACCCAGAACTGGACTCTGCACTCCAGCTGAGGCCTCACCAGTGCCGAGCAGAGTGGAACAATGACCTCTCGTGTCTTACATACAACGTTAGCCCTTTTCACAACTACATCACACTGCTGACTCAGATTCAGTTTCTGATCCACTCTAACCCCAGGTCCCTTTCAGCAGCATGGCCACCAGCCAGTTACTGCCCATGGTGTAGCTGCGTTAGGGCAGCGTATGGGCCTGGATTGGGGCCATGCTCTGCTCTAATGTCTTCTGTATTTATTGCCTAGGTGATGACTCCAGCAGCGGCAGTGTCGGGGGTTCCTCCCCACAAGGTAAGTGCTTCTGAATGTTTTTTTTATTCTAGGGACTCTATTTAGGGAAAAGTGGATCCTGGGCTGGGCAACCCCCAGTCTGAGTGTGATCACCATGGAGATGGATGTAGAGGAAACACACAACAACACAACAGGGTGACAGGCTCATCCAATGCAGCACATTCTCCCTGCAGCTCTCCCAGGCTTTAACCAGCATTGCTGAGCTGGGCAACATCTTTGCAGGGCAGGAAAATGGCCCTTTCAAAGGGGGAATCCCAAACCCTTCTGATGGGAAAGAGTTTCTTGTGGAGCTCACAGACCTCCTCTGCTAAACCGGCAGTCAGTGAATTATTTCCCCCCTCTCCAATCACTATATTTATTGTTGTTCTGGTAGGAGGCACCAGAGGCATCATCACTCCTGGGCTCATAAGTTCTGTCTCTCTGTGTAATTAGTTATTTACGCTCTGTGCTCCAGTCCTGGAACAGAGGTGTCACAAACAGCATGTTGGCAAACTAGGGAAGAATGACCCTGTGCTGGGGGAAAGGGAGGAGCCTCCCCAACAACCTTCCATGAGGGGAACATGCCCCCCTGCAGCATGATCCTCCCCTTAGATCTAGGCCTCCAGGAGTTCACACAGAGTCCCTGTTACACAGAAGCTGCTTTGTGTCTAGTGCTGGCACTGCAGTCCCACACGTGGCTTTGCACACAGCCATCACCATGTCCCTTTCCATGTTGCAGGGCCAGACGTGTTGTCCATCGTCATCTGGACCACTCGCTGCATCCTGGTTTTGCTCCTCCTGGTGTCTGCTCCCGTCATCACCTTCATGCTGGAGAAATGGAGCCTGACTCAGCCTGCGGGGCTGAAGGAGACTCGTGAGGGGAGTGTCAGCATTTTGCGGGGGGTGAGGGGGCAATGGGGAATCCCCATTGACCAGCTGTGAGCAAGAGGAAGGGTGGGGCAGGGGCTGGGGAGATACCAGTGACCAGCTCTGAGCGGGTGTTGGGGAGACACCATTGGTCAGTGGTGCACAATAGGCCCCTGTGGTAACAGTTTTTGCCCAGGTAACTCCTGCAGCCTCCTTCAGTCCCCCTCCCTTCCCCCAACAGGGACATTGTCAGTCACTGACTAGGGTTGCCAACTTTCTATTGGCTGAAAAGCAGATCCCTGAGGCCTCGCCCCTGCCTGCCTCTTCCCCCAAGGACCTGCCCCTTCTCCACCTCTTCCCAGCCCCCCCACCCCCCGCTTGGTCCTCTCCTGTCTCCCCCCATCACTCTCTGCTCTCCCCCGCATTCCTCCTCTCTGGATCGTCTCCTGCTCCCTTCCCTGCTGGGCTCCCTCTGGTCTGGGGCTGAGCTGGGAGCTGCTGGGGTGGGTTGATGACCTGACGCCTCTCCCCCTATCCCAGTAACTGGACCCTCAAGGTACAGCTGACTGGACACTGCTAGGTCCCCTTTTTGCACCTGGCATTGGCAACCCCCTGCCCTGCAGCCAGCAGACCTCTGCTCACTCCCAGCCAGGCCAGGGCCACGCCGAGCTCTGTCAGATCTTAGCCCTGCCATGAACTGTCCCAGCCAGACAGCCAAGCCCAGCTCCTTCTTTCTGTACAAATAATCCCTCCTGCAGAGGGGCTGTAAATTTAGAGGAGGAGGATGAGCTAATGGTTAAGGCACCAAGTTAGCACTTCTAGAAATTTAAGGTTCAGTTCCCAGCTCTGTTACAGAATCCTTGGGCCTGTCACTTCCTTTCCCTGGGCCTCAGCTCCCCAACTGTGAAATGGGGACAATAATTCTGCCTTGTCTCAGGGGAGAATTTTCAAAGCCCATAAGGGATTTAGGAGCACAAATGCATGATCATGCTCTGTGCCCACTGCCTTGTGCACCTAAGTCCCTCAGGACTATTTTCACCTTGAGGTAAACTGGAAAAAGCCTCTCATGCACTGGAGTAAGAGTGTCCCCACTGGGAGTTATCCCGGGATAGCTGTAGTGGTTTAGCTAGGCCAGCATAGTTTTGCTGGTCAATTTCCCCCTGCAGAAGCCGTTAGTGTCTGTGCAGCTCCCAGTGCAAAGGAGCCTGGGGTTTCCAGGGCTGCTGTAATAGAAATTTTCCAGTTGATTATATATATCTCCTGCTGTCTGGTTCTGTTCCTTCAGTTCTAACCCCACTGTGACACTCCCCAACCAGCGGGGAATCTCATGACAGCCTCAGCTAAAAACAGAGATCAGAAAGCCATGATTTCAACCCTCCAATCTTAAGCCAGAAATGAAATGGGATATGGAGCCTTTCCAATAGAGGGGACTCAGGCTCTCGTCCAGTCCCAGGTTGGGGGAAATGGCTGGTCCAGTGGGATATGGTACAAGACACAAACTGTACAATCAATACCCCAAAGAGTCCATCACTGACTAAAGATTATAACTCAGGTTTTGTTTTATTAAAACTCACTCAAAACCACAGTTTATGTGTCATCCCTTCTATGGTCAAAACACAAATGTCTTTAACGCAACCCTAGCTCTGGTTTAACTACGGCTGCACCGTAATCCAGACACATTCCAGCCAGTGGTTATATTTTGCTTCCATGCCCAAAGGTGTCACTTCCATGCACGGACAATACCTGAGACTTCCCATTGAAGAGAGTGGGAAGAAGGATCTTGGGGCTAACACTCAGGGCTTGGGTTCCATTCCTGGGTCCCATTCCCAGCTGTGGCACTGACTCACCTTGTGAGCTTTGGTAAGTCCTGCTCCTGTCTGGGTGCCCAAATTTGCACATCTAAAGCCAGGGCAAGTAGCATTTGTGTGCTTCATATGGGTGTTAACAACCAAGGCAAATCTGAAAGCAGACATGGAAATGAAAACAAACCATTCTGTCCAGGGAGATTGAAATGTTCTCCTACTGGCTTTTATATGTTACCATTCCTGATGTCTGATTTGTGTCCATTTAGCAACTACACACCACACCACAGAAACACCAACCCAGGAACCAATCCCTGTAACAATCCCCCTTGCCTGAAAAATCCCCATTGCCTTCTGTGTCACCATATCTACTCTAGTGACACCATCATAGGACCCAACCACATCAGCCACACCATCAGGGGCTCATTCACCTGCACATCTACTAATGTGATATATGCCATCATGGGCCAGCAATGCCCCCTGCAATGTACATTGACCAAACCGGGCAGTCTCTATGTAAAAGGATAAATGGACACAAATCAGACCTCAGGAATGGTAACATACAAAAGTAGGAGAACACTTCAATCTCCCTGAACACTCAATAACAGATTTAAAAGTAGCTGTACTTCAACAAAAAATTTCAAAACAGACTTCAAAGAGAAACTGCTGAGCTACAATTCATTTGCAAACTTAACACCATCGATTTGGGCTTGAATAGGGCCTGGGAGTGGCTGGCTCACTACAAAAGCAATTTTCCCTCTCTTGGTATTGACACCTCCTCGTCAATTATTAGGAGTGGACCACATCCACCCTGATTGAATTGGCCTTAAACATTCGTTCTCCACTTTTAAGGTAACTCCCTTCTCTTCATGTGTCAATATATACTTATGCCTGTATCTGTAATTTTCACTCCATGCATCCGAAGAAGTGGGCTGTAGTCCACGAAAGCTTATGCTCTAATAAATTTGTAAGTCTCTAAGGTGCCACAAGTACTCCTGTTCTTTTTGCGGATACAGACTAACACGGCTGCTACTCTGAAACTAGTCTTTGTTTATTAACTTTATATAGCTTGCTCAGTGAAAAACACGGTAAATATTTTTTCTCTTGCTTACAGAGGTTTTTAACTGGAATTCATGGAGACTTTTTCTCATCTGTTGGACTGTGGAATTACTTAGTTAATACTAATTAATTAGTTAATTAGCTCAATATATAAATGAAAAACCCCGTTACAAACAAATACAAAACCTGAGAACGGCAAAATATAGATGACTTTTCTTTATTATTACATTTCAATAAGATGAGAGTTGGTGAACCAGACAGGTTAAGACAATTTGACTAAAATTCAGTAACTTGTAAGGTATGCAACTATAATGAAAGCAGTTTTCCCACAATTTTTTTTTTAACTAACACTTCTAGTGCTTCCTGTTGGGAAGTTAACAATAGCACTAACCTGGTGCGAAATAATTCAGAGCTACAGGAAAACAACTTGCTTGTTGCTCCTAGAGCTGAGCTTCTCCCAGCCCAGGCAGGTCACATGGTTTTTTAGTAAAGCAGCTGCCCTGACTACTGGCTTTCAATGGAGTTTATGTGTCCAGCTATAGGGAGCCTATGGAGCCTGCCCAAAACTACTACACCCAATTTCAAAACTTGTGGGTGTGCAATGCTAATTGTGCATCTGCCCAGCAATAATGCCCCAGACACAACTTATTCCTCTCCCCACGTCTCTAGATCTTCTACAGCGATATCTCCCTATTTGGCACGTGGGTTACACTCATAGTCTGACAGCTGAATCCCAAGGCTCCACTGAAGACAGAAGAATGCCCAGCTCGGGTACAGAATAGCGAAGCAGGGACAGAGACCTCGTTCCTTGGCTCCTCGTCAAGCACCTGGCCACTGAGCCCCGACTACATTTTGCCGTTATTATTTATATAACAGGTCCCTCCAGAGTAGGGCAACCAGACAGCAAGTGTGAAAAATCAGGACGGGGATGGGGGGTTATAGGAACCTATATAAGAAAAAGACTCCAAATTCAGGACTGTCCCTAAAAAATCAACATCTGGTCACCCTGCTCCAGCGGGGTCAGGGTCCCTTTGTGCTGGGTGCTGCAGAGAGTAAGGGCTGGTCTGAATGGTGAAATTGACCAGCAGAACTATACTGGTCTAACTAACCCACTACAGCTATCCCGGGATAACTCCCCATGGGGACACTCTTATTCCAGTGTACAAGGGGCTTTGTCCAATTTTCGCTTACGTCACTTTGAAAATGGTTTAAACCAGTGGTTCTCAAAGCTGGTCTGCTGCTTGTTCAGGGAAAGCCCCTGGCGGGCCGGGCCAGTTTGTTTATCTGCCGCATCTGCAGGTTTGGCTGATCGCGGCTCCCACTGGCTGCGGTTTGCTGCTCCAGGCCAATGGGGGCTGCAGGAAGGGGCGCTGGTCAAGGGACGTGCTGGCCGCCCTTCCTGCAGCCCCCATTGGCCTGGAGCGGTGAACCGCAGCAAATGGGAGCCACAATCAGCCAAACCTGCAGACACAGCAGGTAAACAAACCGGCCTGGCCCGCCAGGGGCTTTCCCTGAACAAGCAGTGGCCCTAGTTTGAGAACCACTGGTTTAAACTAACCATGACCAAGGCTCTCTGATTCCAGAAAAAGAGGGTCCCCATGGGGAGTTATCCCGGGATGACTGTAATGGTTTAATTACACCAGTGTAGTTCTGCTGGTCCATTTCCCTGTGCAGTCAAACCCTTAGTGAGAGACAGCCCTCACCTGTAAGAGTTCACGATCTAAGGGGTTGATGCAGCTCTGCTCCCAGCACAGGTCTGCTCCCTGGGCTGCTTCTCTGGTTCTCTCTGGCCGGCATGGCCCTGCTCCCAGCTCAGCTCCGGCTCCTGCTCTCTCCTTAGCTCTTCCCCACTCTGGCCCAAGTAGCTCCAGCTCAGACAGAGAACTGGACCCCCTGGCCTCCCCACTCCCTCATTAGCCTGCCTGCCCTGTCAATCAGGCTGACCTGGAGCATTGGCCTCTCCCCATTGCCCTTGGGGACTGTCAGTCTCAGGGTCCTGATTTCCCATCAACCCTTCCCCTTGGTACTGGGAGCTACCCAACCAAAAAATCTCCACTGAGTTTTAGTAGCCGAGCTGGGAATTCAATCCCTGTCTCCCGGAAGTTCCATGATGGTGCCTTAACCATGAGCCCATCCATTCCCCCAGTCATACAGTTTCTCTGCAGGAGGGATAATTTGTATAGAAGGAAGGAGCTGGGCCGGGCTGTCTGGCTGGGGCATTCATGGCAGGGCTAAAATCCGACAGAGCTCGGTGTGGCCCTGGCTTGGCTGGGAGTGAGCAGAGCTCTGCAGGCTGCAGGGCAGAGTGACTGACAGCATCACCATCCGGGGAAGGGAGGGGGAAACTGAAGGAGGCTGCAGCAGTTACCTGTTACAGCAGGGGCCTATTGTGCATCACTGAGCAATGGTGTCTCCTCAACACCCTGCTTTGAGCTGCTCAATGGTATCTCCCCAGGCCCCTCTCCACTCTCCCACTCACACTTCAGGTCACTTTGGTAGTGAGTTTAGCTACCAGTTGAATTAAGGCTTTAATTCTGAGTAAGAGTGTCCACATAGGAATTTAATGTAGTACTTTAAATTGATACCTTTAGTTAATTGGGATTAATGTTCCTGAACCTCTCTGTGTTACTTTAAAGGCTCCAACACCAGGAAGCAAATATAAAATCCAACACTGATTATTTATAAAAAGTCTCTTGTTTTTTAAGCCTGATTTTTTAGCGCTGGGGGTGGCAAAGCTAAGGAAAAGCCAGCCGAGAGGGAGGAAAGGAGGCGAGTTATCGTCTGCATGCACCTGAAGCAGAAGACTCCAATCACAAAGATGACACTTCCTCACCCCCCCCCCCCAATTCAGTTTCTTAACTACCTGAAAGTTGAAAGCTGCCCGAGTCGCTATGGAAAGGTGCCAGGGAGCTCAAAGCCCTGCAGAAAAGGGCTTCTCTGGATAGTTAAACACACTCACAATGGTTCAAAGAGCTTGAACTAGCAACACAAAACAAAGGTACAAGAGGGAAAAAACGATTCCCAAATCCACCAGTGTCTGCAGCATGATCCAGAGACATCACTCAGGTGCTGATTGTACCAGCAGCAGGGCCTCTGTCGCTCATTGGAAATCTCACAACACAGCCAGATTTTCCAGAGTTCGGCTCTCAATTAGGCACCTAAAGGCAGTGGCTAGATTTTCCAAAGCACACAGGACCCAGCAGCAGCCAATCATTGTTCTCAAACACAAATTTTTATAAGCTGCTGGGTGCTGTCACTTACAGAAAACTGGCGCCTGTCTAGAATTCCTGCCAAACATCAACTCAAACCTATACACCAAAATCATTTAATTGCTTCAAGCAGTGACTGTTTTCCAGGTAGAGAAATACTGGCATGATGTTCTCTTGCATCCACATGGCTGCATTCTCTACATGAGGCTAAAAACAGTTTCACAAAGCCATAGTTTATGACAAATACTCTTTGTTATTTATATTTCATCACATCCCTACAAACCTGCATGACATTAAACAGATCTGTAAATTCAAAGGGGACCCTGACGCTCTTGTCAGTTATTATGATTTCACAGCACATCTCATAACATTCACTGTTTTTCTTAAAGCTGAACTCCTGAGGTGCTGGGATTATGTGAAAATCTTGGGTTTTGTTGAAATGAGTAAGTTTCTAGCCCTCCTGGTTGTGAAGAACACCTGAAAAACCTGACCTCCATACAGCCAAACACCAGAAGTAAAACAAAAGCAATCAAAATGCATAATTAAAAAAAAATCTCATGAATTCTTAAGGCAGCCTTGGGTTTTGGGGTAGGGGGCTGCCTCATGATTTTTGTACAGTTTGGGTTGGCAATGGAATCTCTAAACAGAGCTGAGAGGACTTGGCAGCTGAGCTGTTGATATAAAGAGTTGGGGGCAGGAATACAGAGTTTGGGTACTTTTCCCAATTTTATTCAGAAGAAACTTTTTTTCCAGATGGAAAACAAGTAACATTTGCCCTAAGAATATTCCAGTGTCCTACAGTACTTTGGGTGCTGTGCATTCTCCTGCTGTGGTCCCAGAGAAGGTCCCCCACTTCTTTGCTGCACGGCCCCTTTGGAGGTTCTGTGATGCAGCTGCACAATGACGAGTCCTGCATTTCAGCAAGTGGAGCATTAATGACATCTGTCCCGCTGCAGATCGACATTCGCGTATGTCTCTTCTCTCGGGGGCCGTGGATGCTTTAAGATAAACACAGTGATGTTACTTTTCTGCTAAACCAGCCTGAAGCCAGAGAAATGAAGCCAGAAAATGTCTGTCTGACAGCACTGCTGTACGTACATCAGGGGCTGTTCTAATGGGCATCTAGGCTGGGAAACACCAGTGGCCCCACTTTCTATTAAACCCCTATGAGGCAGCCAGCTCAGGTTTCCCCCTCCCCAGCCTTGGGCTGGC